TTATTCTTTTTTAATTTAGTCGAACATTTTAATATTTCTTAATTTTTGTAACGCTAACGTTAAAGTAGGTAACAGCTATATTATAAACAGTGCATAAAGACACGATCTTGTGGAATGACCATAAAAAAAATAATACACAACTTCAAAGCAGTAAAACAAAACGAAAATTTTACCGATTGTGACATAAAGACTGAGTGAGGATCGGTATGGCGCGTGATGCATACATAGCAGGAGTTGATTACTATCTCGATCTTTTTGGAGTGTATGCGATTCCCTCAGTTTTATTTATTATTTAGGCCTTTATATCTTCTGAATAGATTTATGAAATTTTAATATCGGCATACCACTGATGCCTCTTATTTAGTCTTCAAACTATAAATCAGTGAATAGATATTAATTCCATAGAGAGAGGAAACACAATGTTTGAACAGTAATAGTTAAATCGAGAGAAAAAACCCTGTAGATACTTTCGAATTAAACAGATTTAACATCCTTCTGTGAACTGAAGATTATGTATGATTATGAAAGTAATTAAATATTTCATGTAGTAAAAGTAGAAAATTTATACCCATTGGTATTTTCTTTTTAACAACAGGTATATCGACCCAGTTGCAGGTAAGATAGAACATGTAAAAGATACTAAAATGAATGTGATGCATCAAATGCGCATTTCTCATCCCTGATGCTTGCAACTAAACGTTGGAAGTACGAAAAAAACCCAACAAACGAAAACATAACGCCTTCACTGAGAGATCTGTGGCCAATACTTTTCGTTCTTTTCCAAGTGTCTGTGAAGGTTGCTAAAACGTTTATGTCAGTCTGATGTTGAAGCATTAGTTAAGATTCAAATACATCTTATGTTAACGTCTGAGGTTCTTTAATTTGTATTTATCAATATCTAAGAACTCTCTGTAAATACAAAATGTAAGATTATTTCTAAAATTAAGAAAAGTCGCTCAGATTTAGCACAAAAAAAAAAAAAAAAAAAAAAAAATTGCGTATAAACGTTTACCCCCAAGACGAACCAGAAATAGTAATTTCATGAATTGTGAATCCCACACATTTGTCGATAGTTTTGGAAAAGAAAGAATAAATGGCAATTTTCGTTCAATATATATCACATCTTTATATTTCAAATATTCCTTGAATCTGTACTAAAATTTATCGTCACTTGCTTCATAAACAAATTGTGCATTTAACAATATTAAGAATTTTGTGACGTTTTAGAAGTTGAACATGATAACAAATTTTTAAGGATTTTGGCAATTTGTGTATTTATAAAAGAAAACCTAAAAATACCAATCCAAAACTAAAAACCGGATGCTATCGGATCATGTATGTACTGTTGTTTCAGATACTATTTAAACAAGGTTGACTACGGATATCCTTAAACGTAAATTTTGTACTGAGCTCATGATATCTGAGACTGACATTCCACTGCAGCAGAATCGATCCAGTGATAGAAGCATAATTTTACTTTTATAAATTTGTTGTACTTCAGAAGTCATTCATAATCAAATTCCAATGAGCTATTATCCTGTTTCCAAATTTGAAATTTGATGTAAGCATATACATAGGAATCTGACCATACCTGATTGTAATTAGGTATACGTAGACTGACAAGTTTTTGGTGTCCTATGGGAACTAACTAAGCTCCCTCTTATTGATTTTTTCTTCCTTTGCTGCTTACACTTTACACTAATAATTCCCCATGCTCAATTAGAAGATAGATTACATCAACACATAAAACAGAGCTTTTTTCTACAAAAATGGGACACATAGATAAATATTCCTTGTCGTCGGTCAAACAAAATCTAACCTTGTGTAGAAAAGCACTGATACCACCAACACATATACAGAAGATGATATCATCAAAATACTGAACTTGTTTATCGAATAAAATAAGTTTTCTTTTTGGTGAATTGATATTTCAACAAACAGTTGGATATTTCAATGGGTATTAATTGTGCATCACGTCTGTCGACTTCCTCTTGTACTCATATGGAGCAGAATACATAAATGAGAAAAAGTTATCTTGAAAAGTTCTTTAGTTTCACTTTCAGGTATACTAATGATTGCCTGCACATCAAGAACCTACATTCAAGCGAAAACTCACAACTGATCTTACAACTGATCTGTCCTTTTCCGAGTGAACATGTGATTACTACTGAAACTAGAAGGTCTGCTTATAATCTTGATCTTTTCCTCGAAATTGACACAGACGAACAACTTCAAAATAGAATTTTTGGCAGACGTCATAACTTAAACTTTCAAATTGTAAACTGTACATTTCTCAGCAGTAACATACCAACGGTTCTATCATATGGCGTTTAATTATCTCAGTTGATACGTTACACCGATGCATGCCCACACTGTAAGGACTTCATTAACAAGTTTGTGATCTTTACACATAACGTGTTCCAACAGAGTTATGAAGAAAAACGGCCGAAATCGACACTACATAAGTTTAACGGATACAACACGAATTGATTGACCGATACGATATGTGTGTGTCTCAACTCAAAATCAGAATGATTGTTGCGCTCGCACAACTTTAGATACCAGACGGGTGCCACATGTGGAGCAAGATCTGCTTACCCTTCCGGAGCACCTGATATCATCCCCAGTTTTGGTGTTGCTTAGTCTTTAGTGTTCTATGTTGTGTCATCTGTACTATTATTTGTCTGTTTGTCTTTTTATTTTTTTCCATGACGTTGTCAGTTTGTTTTCGATCTATGAGTTTGACTGTCCCTCTGGTATCTTTCGTCCCTCTTTTAGATACCAAAAATAGTCGTCTAATCTGTAATTTTACCGATTGTATCTTATTCACCATTATGACATTTTGACCAATTATGGATTTGCATGGCGGTTGATGCATGCATAGCAGTAGACGCTTACCCGTCGACCCATTTGATCGCGCTCACTTTTTCAGTTCATACGATTCCCTCAGTTTTTGTTTATTACCTTGATTTTTTTCTCCATAAGCGACTTATGAGAACTGAGCATTGATAATCAACTGGTTCCTGAATTTATCTTCCATTTGATAACATTGCTTCATAAGAGCCAACATGATAGATATTTTGAACAATAGAAGTATACATTTAGATGATATATTTTCCGTTCACAATTCAGAATATTTTAAGTATACATATTAAATTCGTCTGCTTGAGCACATTCATTACAAAAATCAATATAAGAAATCGTACATAAAGTTTTAATTACGATTGAGTCATAAATTGACAAATTTGACTTAGAATACGCGTTGTGTTGATGAAACGTATCCTCCTTCTTTTTGTAGTTTTACTCCTTAGCTACTAATGATAACAAAACAAATGGTGTACACTTAATTGAAATCAAATATACGAAACGTCATGTTCAAAGACCTTTAAATTTCTGGATGAAAGAAATCAATCTATGTATAACTAATCAATGAAATTTAGTACCGATTTATTAATATCATTTTGGAAAGTAGTCGTTCCCCGGCCATATTATCGACTCAAGGGTATTACAATCAAAACGAGTATCAAACTGAATATACTGTATCCAAAGCATTTTAATGAATACAAAGCATGAAGATACCATAGAGATAGTCAAAGACCATATATCAAAGAAAAAAAGACAACACCATAGCTCATGCATTAAAATTTAAAATGAAAAGACAAACAGAGTCCACAAAAATACATAGAAAACTAAAATTTGGGCAATCCGAACAAAACTCAAATCAGTGGTTGAACCTAGGTGTTCCGTTCAAATCAGCAATTTCGTATCCATGAAAGCACCAGTAATCTTTTTCATCAGAATCCATATTTCGATTTCGGGATGTACAAATAGTTCACTGTGCAGTAAAAATATATTCCCTAGTTGTTTTGAGAGCAGTGTCAAAGCTGCAAATGTTTTTACTCTTCCAAAAGAGCACCTTTTCTAAAACAAACAAGACCGATCTTAATAATTACGATCAATTGATACATTATTAAATACAATTTACCTTGAACCAGAATAACATAGACGGATGGAGAATTCTATTGAAATACAAAAACTGTGATTTAAATTGATCATGTATTGTTAAAATCATCACGATTGCAATTAAGTGTTAAACATTCTAAAATTGAGGCAATAATGAAATTGACCATTAAGCAACATAAAAGATGAACCATTCATAGAATGAGGCACATACCCTTCCAAAGTGTTTGCTATTATTAGCTTTATATTGACAAATTATTTGTTTTATTTGCTCACTGTTCGCTTTTTCAAATACCTATTTCACTGAGGTTTTTTTTTGTCCTCTAAATTCCGATCCATTTGACTGGTTTGGTTTATTTTTGTTACATGTCAACTGTTTGAAGTACCAGGTAATGCCTATCACACTCCTCAGTAGATTCCATCAATCAAAATCTTCAAGACAAATAGAAAAGCAAGTGTTCCAAAATTTCGGACAGAAATTAATTACAAATTGAAAAAAAAGCTGGTGCCGTCAGCTTCTTTATTCAACGATTTTGAAGATCATTTCTATCAATATACGTGTTAATCATCTGCATGAATGCAGCAATGTTTACCGATTTACTGTAATGGTTGAATATCGGTTGATTGGACCGGAAAGAGTATATGTAAATTTTTTAAATTCAATCTTTGATTGATAAATTGTTTAGCTCTTTATAAAATTACTTCACATCCTGTTTTGCTAATTTGAAAATAAATGACAAATTTAACAAATAACATTTTCACATAAACTCCCCTTCTTCATTGTAATATATTGTAACATAATGATCTAATAAATATATCTGTAGATGTGAATAAGGTTTTTTGTATTCAAAATAATAGAATGGACATAGCACATTTTGAACCTAACACGATTAAGTGTAGGTATGTGCTGTGTGAAAGTCTATGTATTTTAAATTATCATTGCAAATCATCTTTATATATCACCGTTATCTAATTTGTATAAATATGTAAAAAAGTGGTGCATAGGAATGTTTTTGAAAGAAGCTAAACTTTATTATATCTTTGGTTAATATTTAAATATTAGAAGGGTAGAAATCTTTTTCAAGAACAAAGTATTAAGAGATAATGACTTGATATATACACTGATTGGTCATTGGTGTCCTTTCTTGTTTGAACAGATGGACTGCTGAAATTAAAAGATTTAAAAACATACATTTGCGATAAATTTAGCGATGCATCAATTTAGAGTTTGGATCTTCTACAACAAATACACGGCTTTCTAAACATACGTTTCAAAAGTATCGCTGCTTCATTACGAAACTTGATATCCATAAAAGCATATATTATTGGGTTCACAATGTTATTGATTATAAACATATTGTACAAAAACATAACAACCGGTCTCTGTAAGATTGACAGCTGCTCCCAAAAATTTACGTACATCCCTTCAAGAAGTAAAATTGTCACTTTTGGTAGAAAACAAAGTAAAAATACTACAGTTATAACAAGAAACATAATTGTGAGTTTGTGGCTAACACGACGATTATGTTTTCTTCGTTTCTTGGATGCAGTTGCCTTTTCATTCGTTTCCATTGGACGTTGTCCGTCATACTTATCTGGTGAAAGATTTGATGTTTTGACTGTTGTGTCGGTTGACATATCGTCATCTCGTACCTCTGTATTTACGCCTTCAGAATTTGTTTCGATATTTTTTTCATCTCTCGTAAAGCGTTTTTTCATTTCTAAATTACGAAAAACTGTATATCCTATTCTGCCATAAAGTATGGTAAGTGTTATTACTATAACAAAAACTAACACACAAGCCACAATCGCGTGTAAATTACTCATGAAAGGATGTCCTTCTTTCAGTCTCCCACATCTGGTTCCTGATATTCCATAGTTGACGCTGCGATAATGAACAGAACCATACACAAATAGTAACGGTATGGCGTAAAGTAAAGAAATGACATTTGTAAATACTAATGAACTTCGTTTCATTAAAATCGACATAGATTGTTTAAAAGGGAAACATATTTTCATGTATCGCTGAACAGCAATAATTACCAATATAGAAACCGGATTGAAAGTTGTAAGGCCAGTGCAAAACGCGAGGATCTTGCATACAAAATCGTTTGAAAAAGTAACTTGATTTAAACACTGAAATATATAATTCACTGTAAGGTATAATGTTGCTATCATGTCAAATGCCGCTAAAACTGGTATGAAATATCTCTCATCTGATGGCCCTTTTATCTGAAACGCATACACCAACAACACAATGAAGTTCCCACATATTCCAAGAACGAGATAGACAAAAAGTACGATGATGTTTGGTATCAAGCTTGTTGTTATTCCATCATTCCATTCCGAAAATGTAATATTATTGCCAGTATTGCTAGTATTCATATCTAGACATCGATAATATAATCAAAATTTTAATTTATTTCATATTAACATATTCATTGATTGTTAAATAAATAGAGTTTTTTTTTCCGGTTTTAGTTTAAAACAGAAATAATCTTCCTGTATAACTTTCAAAACGTTTGAAATAAAAAAAAAACAAAGCATATTGTGAATATAACTTTTCCTCATTAATATTGAATTTAAACAAAGTAGGTTACGCTTCCGGGAACTTTTTCAACTTCGAAAATGCGTTTTGAATCGCCAAAAAATAGTCTTCTCATTTTACACTCTTTTCATAACGGTTAATTTTAAATATATACCTAAAGTATGAGAATAAATGAAAGCTGGGTTAATTTTTGTCTATATACTATGGCGCTGAAAAACTTCAATAACAAGGCGGCAATTTAACTTCTTTCTGTTTTTCAATTTGATAGGGATTTTTCGTAAAACATCATAAAGGAGCATACGATTCCCTCATATTTGTATTTAATTACACCAAAGTAACCAAATGATTTTTCGGAAATTTGTTTATCCCATTGCCAAAAAACAAATGATGACAAGTAAAATAAACATGCAAAATACGCTAACCTTAAACTCAACATTACCTACCTCATATTATTATTTATAATTTGGTAAACAGTAAAAATCGTATTCATCGCGGGACAAATTAAACGCGACAGGACTGAGAATCAGGATTGACACGAATTCAAAAAATATATGAATGATTCAAAAAATATATGAATCGCCAGTAACATATTCAAGGTCAACTGTGTGAAAAACTATTTTAAAATGCTCCGACTAAGATATCCACTTCCGGCAAAAAGTTCATGTACGTTCCAGTAGGCATTCTAAAAAATTGTTCATTTTCCTATTAACTGATTTTTTTAAAAGTTTAATTATTTCTTGGCAAAGGTAACCAACATCTATGTAGGACCAAGTATTCCCTGATTCTCAGTCCTGTCCATTCAATAACATTAACAATACCATTTTGTCTGCACCAGATGTGCATTTCGACAATAAATATATCTTTAGTGATGCTCGAGGCCGAGATATGATTATTCATATCATGTTGGTTTTTTAAATGCATATTCAAGTTGACATTGATTATAGACATCTACAAACTGCTATTTTAATAGCTTTTGTTTATTTTGAGTATAAAAAAGAATGCAGGACAAAACAAACCAGACCAATGTTATCGGAAATAAAGCTTTGGTTATGTTTTTTTATAACTAAGCGATGTTCGATACGCATATCCTTCAATCAAAAATTGTACAGAATCATATGAAAATTCATCAAATGTTTTTTTTATCAAAATTGATAATGATTCTTTGAATACTTAGTTTTAATCAGTTTTGCTATCTATAAAGTATGATTTTACACACAACTACAAACTGCTCTTCTCATGTTTTATTCTAATTTGATTGGAAATAATATCATTATATGATAAGTGAGCTTCTGATTCTATCAACCGAAACATTTTCCCGTTATCTCTTAATCAATAGCATCCTTGTGGATAAATAACGTAACATGAAGAGTTGTTTGTGGAAGGGGAAATTTTTTTGAGTCATCAATTGTCCACTGTACAGAGACAAAGAAGTTCAATCCGTTTATTATCATTTAAGTTCGGATTAAGGAAAAGTATGATGGCTCTAAAAGCAAATATTTTTTAAACGTTCTATGAATTACAGAATTAAAATGAGAATGTTATGATTTTGTGCAATTCCAGAATATATTTTTGCTTTTCTTAACGTTTTGATTTGTCTTAAAGATTTCGGTTAAAAGAATACACTCAGGAAGACGGGTATGTTCCAATTGTGGTAAATACAATTCTGTCCCCTTTTCCCCGAATGTGAACTACCGAATTAGACTAAAAGCCAGGTTTGTACTTACATGAGCAACACGACGGGTGCAACATGTGGAGTAGGATCTGCTTAACCTTCCGAAGCACCTAAGATCACCCGCTTTTTGGTGGGATTCGTGTTGCTCAGTCTTCAGTTTTGTATATTGTGTTTTGTGTACTGTTGTTTGACTGTTTGTCTTTTTCTGTTTCAGCTATAGCATTGTCAGTTTATTTTCGACCAAGGAGTTTGAATATTCCTTTGATATCGTTCGCCTTTCTTTTTTAATAATCTAAGAAAACTTTGCAATGTTTATTAGACACATTTGTTTTTGGTTTCACGGGTTGAATTAAATGACAAAAGTATATACTGGAATTGCACACAATCATAATCATTTTACAAACCAATGTTTATCCCCGCCACATTCTTTAACTGCCTTCCCAAGTCAGGAGCCTGTAGCACAGTGGTTGTCGTAGTTTCATGTCTGTCATATTTGTTTTTCATAAACGGGTTTCTTATAAATTAGGCCATTAGTTTTCTCGTTTGAATTAATTCCCTTTATCATGTTGGGGCCTTTTATAGCTTACTATACGGTATTGGTTTTTCTAATTGTTGAAGGCCGTACGATGGCCTATAATTGCTTGCTACCGCTCTATTTTAATTCTGGTAGATATTTGTCTTATTGGCAATCATACCAAAATCTCCCCATTTTTAAACTATGCACCTGTAAGAAAGCAAATCCACCGTTCGAAAATTTGTTGTAAATCATTTTGGTAAATTTCTGTATTTACCTCTTTCATCAAAATAATGGTACATTCTCAACAACAAATTTGTCTTGAATTGATTCTGGAAAAAAACACTGTTTTGCAAGCATGGATGATAAAAAAATGGAACGAATTTAAAAAAAAAAAGAGCCGTTCAATACACATTACGCTACGACATGGTCCGTTCGATGAAGCAGAACCCACCAAACAATATATAATTAGAAACTATACCTCATACAAAAATCAAACAAAAACAAAGATTTTTTGTTGATTTTCTTATCATTTAATAAAACAATTAGTGTCGTTTAAATTGATTAATGTGCTGTTTCATTCAGTCTCTTCAATCTTCAATGATTGTGTCATTATGTCTCTTTCGCTCATAAAGCTCTTCGCATATTGAACAACTTTTACACCTAACTGTTTTGGGGTGTAAGCGTTCCTGATGAAAGTAAATCCATAAAAGTGCGTCGGTCGCATTTTTTAATGTTTATTTTTATTACTTGTAAAAAAAACAGATATTCACTTTGCCCGCTGTGTTCAGTGAACATCAATGTATCAAAAGTATATAACCCAACACATTTATCTAATCAAAAGAAAATATTGTTATTTCTTTTTCTTTCGCATCGGAGTTTTGTGACGAAAAAAAAAACTTCAAATAGAATATAGAATATAATACAAGGAAAAAATTTTGTATGTTTTATTTTATGAACTCGAAAATCTTTTAAATGATATATCAGATGTTCACATAATAAACGTTTTTCATATTTTTTTATATCAGTGTTTACAAATTAAAAATATGAAAACACTACTTCATAAATTGTATGCGTCCGAAGCCCTTAGATATTGTATTAAGTGGTTTACGGGTTTAAACCTCTTCAATGTATTACAAAAACTGTAATATTTATTCTTGTTACTTGTTAAAAAAAACAGATATTCACTTTGCCCGTTGTGTATTTTCTTTTGATTAGATAAATGTATTGGGTTATATTCTTTAAAAAAAATAATGTAAAATATGCCTGCATTACCTTAATTCTGATTTTTGTCATTCCCCCTTTTTTATGTGAAACATCCATGTTATCTGCAATATTGTCTTGAAATATTATCTATCATTTTCAAACTAAAATAGATATTGGTTTTATTTAAAGTTAAATTAGCTAAATGGAAGTACTTTAACTTGATTTTTCATGATATCTTCAACGCTGTACAAATTTTAAGCTGTTGTATTGCAAATACAAAGAATTATTTAAATAATTGATGTTTTGTATAGCTGTAAAACTAAATTGCTATTTGAAGAACTGCGTCTGTCAAGTAACTTATACTTTGTACAGTTATGATTTAAATGACACATTTGCAGTTCAAATTTTTAAATTACAAAAATATTACTAAAATTATGAGTGCAACTCCCTCAGACAAAACATACACGAGATAATTAAATATTCGGGTCTGCATGCTTTAAAACCTTTTACTCAAATTCTTCTTAACGTTTAGTATCAAGAATAACTGAAAAAAGTTTATCCATCAAAGAGGTCTGGAGCACATAAATCAGCAGCATTCCTGAATCTGGACACCAAAGGAAGGATGAATGCTTCACTAGCCTGTCAACACTGAGGTTGTGAGTTTGATTCCCGCACGTGGCAGGTGAGCTCAACTCAATCTTGATTGACTTGGGCTGTCAGTTTTCCTACCGGTAAGTTGTTCTCTCCGGCTTCCTCCACCAATAAAAACTGACCGCCACGAAATAGCACAATAGTCTTGAAAGTGGCCCTAAACACCAATCAATCAATTAATGAATCAAAGTGTCTTTGAATAATTCATACGTACATATGCATGGACATAAAAATATGCAACCCACAATTTTGTGCTATTTACTTTATATGATAACACTTCCCCCCAAAATAATGCAGGAACGGTTGGATTTTAAGAACTGCAGTTTATTTATGTATTAAATCGTAACTTTGTCCTCAACAGTTGTTGTCTTTTCCTGATGTAAATCACAAAACAATTATTTACAATAAAAATTAGTTGACATCTTGTGCTCCCTTCACCAGAAAATTGAAAAACGCGTAATAAAATCTTATATACAAATAAAACCTAAATTATGTTCCAATTCTACTTCGTATAGTATCACCATAAAGAACCCCTTTAATTTCAAATAAAATGTTGTTTTATATTAAATGAACAAGTGACGAATATTTTTGGCAATGCACATGTAGGTCAAAGAGAAATGAAACAAAGAGTGAAACACGCCATACTTTACATTTAATTATAAGTTTCTTTCCTGTAGTTTATAATTGTTGTTAAACGATAGAAAAACTTCCTGTGAAGAATTTAAAAATGTTATACGTGTATTTCCTTGTTTTTAGTTGCATTTATACAATTATGATATTCGATTCTATCAGATACTTGTACTGTATTTGAAAATTCTTCGCTGCGTATATTCATTATAATTAG